GAGTCTTTCGTGATTTGCACGCAGTTGCCTTCATTGTCGTATTTCGTAATCATGCACTCGACGCCGTACAGCAGCAAATCGCTGTCTTCCGAAATCACGAAGTCCACGTAGCGCCGACTATTCAGAAAGCCCAGCTGCGCGTCAGCCTCGTACGGCGCGATCATGTAGCGCACGTTGCTGCGCTGCAGCTCCGCAATCAAGTGCTTCACTTGCTCCCACGACACGCTGATGGAACCGGACAAATACTTGTACTCGCCTTTGCTGTCGCCCTTCGCGCGGCAGGCCGCGGCCTTTTGCCGCGCCTCCTCGCGGCTGCGCGTCCGAGCCAAGTTCGTCTTTTCTTTCATCGGCAAACACAGCCCGTCAAACACCACGACACACTCGATGCTGTACGAACGCAGCACTTCGAGCTTCCGCAAAATCGAGTTCGTGATGCGCTTGCTGATCTGCCCCGCGCTCACCGTTCGAATATCGCTGTACGCAGCGCGGTGCAGCCAGGAGTAGCCGTCTATGGCGCAGCGCTTGTGCCGAAACTCGGAAATGTGCTTGTCGCATGTCTTCGCGCGAATTGCCGCGTGCAGCCCTCTGCAGCCCATGCCGCGCTCTGCGTCAATCCGCGCTTCGCTCGCTGCGCAAATGCAAAAAGTCGCGCTCGCCTCGGGAAAACCTGCGAACTTTTTATATATATTTACAAAGTAAAGCGACACGGCCGCGTCTAGCTCGAGGAGTCGCCGCTCGAGTCCGACTCCTCGGCCGGCGCGGGATCCTGCGTCTTGAACAGTCGTTTGCGGACCAAAGCGAGCACTCCGTAGCGGTTCTCGCAGCGATCTTTCTTGGCTTCTTTCCAAGCCTCCAGCTGCGGCGTGTTGATCACGTCGCACGCAAGCATGAGGTCGAAAAAGCAGCAAATGATGCGCACTTCCGGCGCAATCTCAGCCGTGCCGAGCCTCCACGCGGAACGCGCCAACTCCTGAACGCACACGAGATCCCAATGTTCGCTCCATTTAAACTTCAGCTGCAGCGCGGCGAGCGCGGCGCGGAAGCGCTGCACGAG